CTTGTTCAATGAATTGTATTTGAAGAGTTGTTTAATATCGCCTGTATGTTCTAAAAATGTTTTAGTTCAAACTTAGCATTTTGTTTACTACATTCCACGATGAGATATGGGACCCACGAACCTATAAAGTACCCGAAACGTTGGTTTGTTTAAAAAAAACACAAATATACCGCGAATTCTATCTGAAAAAATGGTTCCATTTCCAATTTGCAACAATCGCTAAAACCAAATAATTACGTCTAAATTAACTAAATTAATAAATAACTATAAACAAAACATTGTAGTTGTATAACATAGTTTTAAAAATAAAAATAATTATAAATTTTAAATAATCACATGTTACCACAACTTTTTATAATAAAGTAAAATACAATCGTTTTACAAAAACCAACAGCCTATATATTTTTGAAACCTATTGGCAAGGGCAGGCGAATGCGAATACCGCCTTAGTCAGCAAAACCTGTACCTCCTCACTCGCTCTCGCCCGTAACTAGTTACAAACTACCCTCAATTTCTAAATATAAATGTAATTATTAAATTTGTACTGAATGGATATACAATTATTTAGAATAGAACAGAATAGAATAGAATAGAATAGACTATTCTATTCTATTCTATTCTATTCTATTCAATTATTTATTGTGACATTACTACACTAGTTTATTATAATTATTAATACAAAGATCGAAGACTTAGGAAAAATTCAATCGATCCAGCCGGATTCGTACCGACTTCTTCTAGCAAACCATGCCAGACGCTATGCCAATTAAGCCACGGAACGAACCAGCGGACCTCACGAATTTTTCCGTGTGCTTGTTCTCGGATCTTGGTATTTGGTTTTCAACGACTTTTTAGCCGTAGCGCCATCTATGACAAATCTATGAAAGTATTTCGCCACCTAGTTAGGTAACTTTGCAGCTACCAGACCTGGCGAGAGATGTCGCTATTATCTGTTATTAAATAATTTATGCTTAACTAACCTATCTATTTATATAAGATCGTTTATGTTAACTTAACTTGTACTTCGTGAATACTGTAACTACTTCATTTTTACTTGTCAGACGTGACATTTTATTAACCTCTCAAGGGTTCCAGTATATTACTTACTATTTATCTGATAGAATTTGTTGTGAATATTAAAATTAAAAAAAATTCAAACATCATGATGAAGTCCACGATGCTTACTGTAATGTATAAATCTTTATTAAATCTTTATTAATTGTACATCAATTTCGTGCAAACACTTTCGTGCTTATCAATACATTTAGAGCAAGCTAATAAATCCAAATAGTCTTTATAGGGAACCCTACAGCGGCATGTGACACTGAAGCTGTATCAATATTTTTTTAAGTCTCTTTTTTAATCCCTGTCGATTAGTCACAGCATTATCGGTTTAAGTTATTTGTAATTTCCATGGAGAATAGAGTTATCGGAATATCTTTTGGTTTAGAAGGTTATTAACAAAGTTGATAGAGGGACTAGGCAAGACTAGGACATAAATATATTATAGTACATTAGTTTAGTCATCATTGATTAATAAAGATTGAACGATAAACGGCCGCGTATTCATTCATTCAATCATTAGCTAATGAAATTCAAAGATATTCAGCAAATACGATTTATTTATATACGAACTTTTTGAAAAATACGTTCTTGTTACACCTCCACTAAATGAATGTAACATACTCTCAGGTTTTCATGTTTCTAGAACTTGTAATTTTCGCAATACTCAGATCTACCTGTGAATTACTCCGGACCTTCCTCATCAACGACCCATTTATACGTCCCACAGCTGAGCACGGGTCTACATTCTAAATAAATTGTCCGCTTTGTAGGATTCCTCTGGAATATTGACGTAGTATTTATCCGTACTTTGTTATGATACCACGTGACGGGACGAACAAGTCGTGTAGCTGGTGGTAAGTGACACGCCTCTCCATAACAGTTGCAATGCCACAAAGAACTTTAAATCGCAAAGATCTGAGCAAATATTTCGATCTGAGAAGACATGGCAGTGTCACTCCACGCACTTCACTCTGAGGCACAAGTTGATTAGTCTCATGTGCCTGTAGTTTCACCAGCACCCTTACCCTTTAGAACTGGAACGCAATAATGCTCACATTAATGATTGGAGGCAGAAATACGTAAGTTGGCAGTACTTCCCTCGACGAACTCTTTCACAAAGTGCTGTAATACTAAATCGTTTATGTCTCGACTATTTTATTCGCTCTACTACAGCACAGCGTAACCAAAAGGAGCTTAAAAAGCACAAACTTAATTGCTTATTTATGTAAGACGACCAACCTGGGAAGGTCTTTCTAGTCTGGGCGTTCTGTGTCGTGCTAGAGAGCTAACATCGTTGCTCTGGTACTCACAGTACACCAATACCGATTCGATACCAATTCCAATAGCACACCCACGTGTGGTTGTCTATCACATTACCATTATTATTCAACGTAAATATTTATTTGTTATGCAAGGCTGCAAAGTTGTTATACGCGAGTGCTTGTATTGAAACCTGGAGCAAGCGAAGGAGTTTCATAACACGAGACGCAAAACAACTTTAAACACACAACTTTTCACCTCACTATAGCGAGGAAAATGATAGATAAAAGAAAAAACAGTTGAACTATAACAAATCAGTTTTAATAAACAAAATTACTTAGTTTCCGTTGTCAATTTAATGTCAACAATAATAAAAATAAAATATACCATACCAACGGGTTTATATTACATAAATGATGTACGACAAATCGCGTAATTCAAAGTGTCATTTTTTTTTATCATCGATAGTAAAAGTTACTTGCAGCACAGTCCATCGTCAAGTTCGAATTTCAAAAACCTTTTCCACATTACGTGGAAAATACGCTTTTGCGCGCAGATTTCTAATGAGAAAGAAAGAGAAAAGAGGTGAAAAATATTTTAGTTTTCTAAGGATGCACCTCTCTAAGGTTTATTAGAAAAACGTGTTTGCCGTAACGCTGCATCGGAACGGGTCCGCGTTCCGTATCTAGTAATTATCACGTCGGCTTGATAGAGATGTTTTTGTTTTTTCACCTACTCACTTAATAACATTCTTCACGCTGGATTTAGACGACTGTGGAGTCGGTGACTTTCATGAGTTACAAATTCATTTAAGGGGCAATACGCTTTTATAATAATAATAATTCTTCCACACGTAAAATAGGCGCCTTGGCGTCGAATTGCGGCCATCAGCCCTTTACACCAAGTACCAAGTACCAATAATAATTCTTTATTTGGGACCATTAAAATTATCCAAATCATGTTAGTACGAGAGTTTAAAAACGAGGTTAGTATGTAATATATGTATGTATGTATGGATGTAGTAACAATGCAGGCATAATTTATAACTAGAATATAAATTGGGCTACGCCTTTAATTTGCTCTATCCAGAATGAGTGCAATAGCGAGAAGATTTGACTGTCCAATTGTAGGACAGTCAAATCTTCTCGCTATTGCACTTTGAATGCTCTTGGGACTTTGCCACACGCGACTCAACTGTGTGTTACTGAATAAGATTCCGGTTGATATCCAAAATTTGCCATTTCGAAGTTTAAAACTGTAGTGAAACAAAAACTTTACACTAAAGGTTATTTACACAACTTCTGCGTAATTATATATATAATACAAAACTCTATGGTAGTGCAACCCGTTTAGCTCCTGCAGGTATTCTCAATTTATGACGTTTGAAATAAATGTTGTTAATGATAAATGTATTTTCATTCTTCTCTGGGGAATCTGCCTTAGGAATGAGCGGTAGAGTTTAATCAATATGAATTCAGCATAATTTAATTGCTTACCTATGAACCAAAAACGATTAAACATTTTTAATTTTAGTTCCCCAGTAATGTCGAAAAAATAAATACATTATCGATACTTAATCGATTACATATTTTCAAGTTTAATTTGTTTACTTGCGTATTTTTTTATGGTATTAAGTGACATGACGAACGGGTCGTGCGCCTTGTGGTCAGCGACACGCCTGTCCGTAGCAGTTCCAGTGCCAGTATTTAAATCGCCAAGTTCCTTGAGGCACTGCCACTGCATTCGCTACTCTAAGACATAAAGTTGACAACCCTATATAAAATAAAGATTTTTTTACGAACATTTAGTTTATTGCGAAACGATAGAGGTACGTTATCTTAGAAATATGCAAACTAAAGCTTCCACCCGTTAGATTTAAAATTTCAAATGCCGAAAGTCGTCTTCATTCATCCCTTGTTTACGCCCTAATGCCCTCGTCGCCAGCGGTCATCAAGGGCGGAAGTCTACCAAAACCGTTAATTTCGAGGTTTTTATCCCGTCTCTTACTTTTTTCTATAACCTCTTCTTGGAAAGTTTACAACGAAAAAAAATTACAAAAAACGCATCTTCGCCTTCAGTTAGAAATAAATTACTGGAAGAATATATTGTTTGGTCGCAAATGGTACCTATCTCACACAAAGTATACTTAAAAGTTTTAAGTTAGAATACTTAGTACATTATTATGTACTAAGTATACTAAATAATCTTCAGTATCTTTTTTAAACAGATTTGTTTTCTTTTCAGCGCCATCCATTGTAGGACTTGATTACTGTTTACGTATAATTAACACCATCTGTAGATTTCTAGCAGCAATAAGATGAACTACATCTGACAGCGCCATCTATTCAAATTCTGTACTAACTTATGAGACAAATGGTTTCAATCTCATGGATAGCAAATAATAAGAAAATTTCCAACTAGATGGCGCTAATGCCTATCCATATATTTACTGCTTTCATACGCAGCTGCCGCTTGTCATATTTTGTTGACGTTTTAGTACAGCTGATCGACAATAGATGGCAGTAAGTATAAACCTACAGTCTTCGCATGCAAGCTGGATCTTTACAATTGCTACGGGTTGGGAACATCTTCAATTTGGTCGGGTAATAAAAAACTCGCTCTTGAAGTCAATAACAAAGCATCTTGTCTATGGACTGGATGAATTTTTCGGCCAGTCTGTTGCCGCTGCTGTTTCGAACGGTTGATGTGTCAAGTGAACTAGCGCGGTTATGAAAATGCTGTGAAAGTGTTTTTTACCTATTTGTGACTGAAATTTGTACGAAATTATAATTTTAGGAGTTGTTAATGGTAGTGATGTGTTTGTTACCGTGTTTAAGTGGACTATTTTGTATTAAATTGTGACCGTAAACGGTGAATTGTTGGTGTGATAGTATCGCAGTCGCCGGTTGTATCTGTTGTGGTGAGTGTATGATCGATATTTACCCCCTTTTAGCCTTGATTTGGAGTATTTTTTATTAATTATACACTGCTGTTGCATGACTCGAGCCTATGAATGCAGTTCACGTGATAATTCGTTGATCTTAAACCGGAAAACAATTAGAAAAATGATCGAATCATCGTGTCTTTTGCAGTTCGCTAGAATTGGAATATTGAAAGAAACCGTTGTTGTTCTCCGTCAAATTGGATTGCTATTAGTTCCAGATAATTAAACACTTATTGGTGCGAGGTGACAGTTTATAGGTGCATTGAATTCTCGTTATTTATCAGTGCTTTCATAGTTCGGTAAAGATTTGCACACAAAATTTATTATTTACCTATTAAATGTCCATGCATATGGTGAAAATTTATGGTAATGTAGAAATTAAAATTAGATACATCTTTCAAAAACACAGTACTTCAAGGACACCTTTATGTACCTACATAAAATTATTATTAATAAATTAAAATTTAAAATGCCTGTCATAAACATTTATCACCATTTTTTTATTTGTTCACTGGAGTAGGTATATTCAGCCATAGTTAATTAAGCAATAAAAGTTGTAGCTGTAAAAAATACTGTTACTTTTTTAAATGGCAAATTGGAGTGTTATGTAAATTGACACACATTGTAACTTTAAATATATCTCATTGTAACTATTACTTACCTAGTAACCAACAGTATTTTATTATGTACACTAAATGAGTGCCTATTATGAAATAAAATAAAAATAAAATTCTAAAATTTAAAAAATATATTTAAATATAATTTAATCTGAAACTTTTAAAAACATTTTTCCTACACAATAGGTATTTTTGCTTAAACAGTTTAAATTTGTTTTTCTTATACTTTTGTTTTTACTTAGTAAAAATTATTTCTTATTAATTGGATCATTCAGTGTTGTAAGTACTTTTACAGTAAAATACTTTGTATACAATAAGACACTCAAATTCTGTTTCACGGTAATGATTAAAAACCCAAAAATCCCACACTAAAAGCGTAAAAAAAGAACTAAGTGTACCATGTCAACACTATAATAATGTTGTTTGTTTTAACACCCCACTTGTAGGGGGTGTCATTCTCATGACTAAAATTAGAATAGGGGGAATGGAGTACTTTTATTATAGAAAGAAGACTGATGAGATAGATATATAACTATCTATTGATATTCTCCCTTCATAAAGTAATAATCCTGTATAGCAAAAAAATTTCCATTTGACTATAATTACTAGTTTAGACCCTGATAATGGTACGTAATAATAGGTATAAATTCATTGGTAAATGCACTTTTTGGTGGAATTTAAATGGGGAATATTTACACGAAATTAATTTGAAGTACAATAGTATGCTCTGCATATATATCTAAATCGTGACTCCATTTCCTGTAGGCTAAGTTATATTTGATACAAATATCAATGATGTTAGTTCATATTACAACTTTAAATCACTTTAATTGTGAGAGAGTGAATAGGCATTATTTAGGTGTGCACGCTACATCCTCGACCTCATCGTCACTTTCCATCAGGTGAGATGGAGGTCAAATGAACACTTATTTTGTATATTAAAAAAAAATTGTCAACATTCAAGAATAATATTTTGAAAATAGGCATGGCATGTCAAACACTTTACAAACAAACAGGGAAACAGGGATCTGAGAGGTCAACACATGCAAATTGGAACCCAAAATGCAAGTACTATAACAAAAGTCTACTGGCATACAGTTTAAATTTTATTTCCATGTGTTATGCGTTTGTTTTGGACCATACTGTTATGCTTATAACAGTCTCCTTTTTCAGTGCTTTTAAATGAACTTCAAGTCTTAAAATATTTCATTTTATTGGTATTTTTTTAATTTAAATAATTTTTACCCATGACCATGGAGCTTGCAACCCTTCCGAAATGTCGGGAAAATAAAAAGAAGTCATACCGTGGTAAGAAACCTGATATTAGTGGTAATCATTTAGTGAATAACCACGAAGGTCTTAAAAAAAAAAAAAAATTTATTTGTGTCAAACAGTCATACATGAAATAGTAATTATTGACAAATTATATTCCTTTTAAAAATAGACTTTCAGTTCCTGCAGTTTAGTAACAAATATAATAGGTAAAGATAGTATGATGGGTAAAGATAATATGTCTTTGTATCCTTTTTGTTGCAACAAACATGTATTTTATCTACAAATTTGTACCTAAAATGCATGTTACCACATGACATACTAAACAAGAAAATTAAATAATATTACCACCTCATAGTAATCACATATATCCTGTAATCAATCAACCATCAAGTTACTTAACAGGTTTGATGGAAACTGGAGTAATATTTATACTAGAACTAGATTAAGTATAAGAGACTAGTAATTTTAAAAGCTGTTACATAGCTTCTTACCATTATCAGCGGTTAAGTGGTAATATCATGTTTTATGAGGATATTATACTTTTTTTTTATAATAACAGGTGACAGGACGAACAATTCGTGCGCCTGATGGTAAGCTACACGCCTGTCCATAACAGTTGCAGTGCCACTCAGAGCATTAAATAGCAAAGATCTGAGGAGAACTGCCACTGCGCCCGTCACCCTGAGACATAAGTTAACAAGTCCCTTCCTTGGTTTGAATTTGGTATACGCGGCGTCCGCGCGGTTATGTTATTCAGTGGAATTTAAATGTTGTTGCCTAGTAAATAGAATTGAGATTCGCCACTAACGTACATGAAGGCGTAACTGGGCGCTTAGAGGTGTAATATTTTCTTCAAATTTAAATGGGACTACTACTGAAGTATCCTCTTTCCAATCCGCCGGAGTTATCGTGTAACATACTTAAAAAAAAACACATTCCAATTGAGAACCTCCTTTTTTTTGAAGTCGTTTAAAAGAGGAGTTCCAAGCCCCAATTTCTTATCCAGCGTCTTATTCTCTCTAATTGCATAGACTGACAGTTTTTTCTGGCCGGCTCAAGCCGATTATCGCCGCGGATAAATGTTGTGACTCCTTTATATGTCGTAAATACTCTTTGTATGAGATCCGGTAATTGGTTGTGTTTGTTAAATAAACATAACTTCGAATGTTGAACTTCATTAATATTTATCTTTTCGGGATCCTAGTTTAGTTATTGTTTAGAATATATGTTTATAATAACACTCCCTCATGTTTAGCGGAACAAAAAAGTTAGAAATGTAAAATGGAAACCTTTCTCTCTCTCTCTCTCTCTCTCATCTCAGCGTCACCGGGAGGTTGCGTCCTCAGCAGTGTTGCTGCGGAGCCCGGGGTCCGCTATCCTGCTTTTTCTCCTCCACTTTGCACGGTCTTCGGCATCCTTAGTGGTGAGACCATTGGCACGCATATCACCCTTGGCGACGTCAAGCCAGCACTTCTTGGGTCTGCCCCTTCTACCGGGGCCCGGCGGAGGTGGCATAGCCAGACATTTGTTTCCCACGTAGCATGCCGGTTTCCGTAAGATGTGGCCGTACCAACGTAGGCGGCTTTCTTGCAGTTTATCTGCAATGTCACGGACGTGAAGGCTGCCGCGGATGCGGGAGTTTCTGACACGATCTTTCCGTGAAACTCCACACATCCAGCGCAGCATCTTCATTTCCGTGACACGCAGCTCCTGCTTATGGCGCTCAAGTACGGGCCACGTTTCACTGTCATATAAAAGGACAGGCCTAATGATGGATTTATAGACCTGTCCTTTCAGCTTAACCGGCTTAATCTTGGGGTAACAAATGACACCAGTCACCTCACGCACTTTGCCCAAGCGGCTGCGATTCGGGCTCTGACGTCGCAGTCGATGTCTCCGGACGCGCTAAGTACAGATCCCAAGTATTTAAACTGGCCCGTAGGCTCGACCGCGTCTTCGCCTATGCGAACGGGTAGGGGATCTGTAGCGTTGCAGACCATGTACTCAGTCTTCGCCACATTTAGTCTCAGATCGCCGCTCTCAAGCGACTCCTTCCACGCATTCACTCGTCGTACCAGTCTCCCTCTATCCGCATCCGCCAGCGCAATATCGTCAGCGTACATAAGCATCCACGGGGGTTGCTCATGCGTGTCTCGGATGGAGCTTGAGACCTCGTCTAATATCACGCTGAACAGATAGGGACTGAGAACTGAGCCCTGGTGAACTCCGACTGTGACAGGGAAGGGTTTAGTGTCACCAACAGCAGTCCTAACCATGGAATCGGAATCGCGGTACATGTCTCGGATGATGTCAATATAAGCTTCTGGTACCCCTTTGGATCTCAGTGCCCACCAGATCATTACACGGGGGATACAGTCGAAGGCCTTCTGCATGTCAAGAAACATGAAATGCAGAGGCGTATTCTTCAATCTGTATTTCTCCACGATGACCCTTAGGGCAAAAACAGGATCCATGGTCCCAAGACCAGGCCGAAACCCATATTGACCCTCCGAGACAGCACTCTCCTGTCGGATCCGAGAGTCTATTATACGCTCGAAGAGCTTCATGGTGTGAGACATGACCTTTATGCCCCGATAATCGCCACACTCCTGCACCGATCCCTTCCCTTTGAAGACTGGAGTGATAATACTCAGTCTCCATTGGTTAGGGATTTTACCGGTGAGGAGCACGCGATTAAAGAGGCCGGTAAGGATGCCCACACCACGGGGACCCATTGCCTTCCAGGCCTCGATGGGAACCCCATCGGCTCCGACAGCTTTCCGATTCTTCATGCGACGAAGAGCTAAGTGGACTTCCTCAGGCGTTACCGGTCGCACTAGTCCCTGATTCGGAGGGAGGACCGGTGGCTGCACCTCTCTGTGCTGCTGCTTCAGCAGCTCGTGGAAATATGAGCGCCATCTCTCCTTCACCGCGTCGACCTCGCATATAAGGTTGCCATGAGGGTCTTTAATGCAGCGACACTTGGAAATATCTTGTGCCGCTAAGACCCTCGAACGTGCCAGCTTAAAGATAAGCTTCTGCCCCTCAGACGATTCCAACTTGTCGTACAACGGCTGCAAGTGG